GTGGTTTCATAAGCAAAATTTTAAGATAATTTTACTACAGGTGATAATCACCTGTGGTGTAAATTAGAAATGTTCTACCTTCACAAATATATATCTTCTCATATATTAGTAAAAAATTGTGGTAACATTGTTTGTGTTTTAATTATTGCTTGTACATTTTTTGTATCATTATATAACTCAACATTCTCAGGAATTTTTTAAATGAAATTTAATATTTCCAGATAATTTCTATAATGATATCAATATAATATAATGTTTGAATCAATACAAAGATTTGATAAGTATAAAAATCAGTTTTTTTTATTTCAGATAAAAATTTTTAAATAATATGACTTCATATTCATTAGTTACTCTAATTTGTTCAGCAACTGGCAAATATATCTCTTGAATATCATTAAATATATATGATAGTTGCATTTCAAGTATACTATTATTTTCAGGACTTCTAGTTGAAGAAGATACAGATTGAATCTTTTGCACATGCTGATTTACAGTTTTTAAATAATTAGCATATATACAAGCTACTGAACATAGTTCCAGAGTTGCAGTCACAAATTGATTCTAACAAGCTTTACTTGTCCACAACTTTAAAATATATTCTTCTAATTTATTAGCATAAAATTAGTTTTGTGATGTAAACTATTTTTATAATAAGAATTTTGCTGATATAATGATAACTGAAGAAAAATAGATGGTATTTTAAAACTACGAAACTTAAAAGTTACATGTTTATCATCTAAATAATAAAGAAGAGATACAAGCTGATTAACAAATGATTTACCAACAGAATTGTGTGTACCATATTCTCAACCAAGATTGTTACTACCTAAAAGTGCTAAAATTTGTTGTCAGTTTTGAATTTAGTAAATTCTTTCTGGTTGCTGTATTCATCATTTCATTAAAAACATTAGATGTTGAAGGAATTTGACTTGCAGAGGATACTAACTGTTTATTCTGAACAGTAAACCAAATATGTGATATATTTTGTTCTTTTTATATACATATCTTTAAACTTGCATCTATGCCAGATACTACATTATGCCATATATTTGTATCCTTTACTTAAATATCGACTTTAACAATCTTTCCAAAAACATAATCACTATCTGCTTGATAAAGTAAATATTCAAAAGTAAAACTTTCATCAACTTCAAATAGTGCGGCTAAAAGAATTGTTTCACTTTCTCTTACTACAGTTACAAAAAGAAAAATCATTTTTATAATTATCTAATATAAATGATTTTTAAAAATTCGAAAGTAAAAAAGAGGAATAATAATCTAAATTTTTATAATTTTGATTCTAATGCCAATTATATAATTTACATCATATACTATATTTGATTGCTTCATTTTAACAATTATCATAATAAATATATATTCTCACCATCCTGACTTCATAGCTAAAAATACTTTCTCTTTTCCAACACGTTAATTTTAAAAGTAGTGGACCACATAAGAATAATGTACCATAATCAATGCACATAATACTTAACACACTTTTTGATTTAGAAAATAGGTCAAAGTTTTATGGTCATAAAGATTATTAATAGGTTAGATGTCTTTGATGAAGCCTACTTTTACTATTATCCCATGCAATTGGATTGTATCTACCAAGATATTATCATTGCCTTTAATATTTAGAATTTCAATAGTATTTGCTTTCATATTGTATAAATTCTAAAATAGTTTATTAGTAAATTTATCTTTGTTTTTACAAAAGAGTACTATAATGATAATTTAAATTCATATGGAGAATTTAGTGAAACAGCTATTTTTTTTTTTTTTTTTTTAATATTAGCAGCCTCGTCGGTATCTTTATTAGATCAAATCATATACATAAACATATATTTAACTATCTAAGCTACAGATCTGACATTCACTGGCTACTCTATTGAGCGTCCAGAGACAGTCTGCCTCACCAGATAAGGCATATGCCTGCACCAGAGGGCTGCACCAAGCTAGTTTGTGAAGCCATACCAGAATGGCTTTGTTTTATTTTTAATAAAATTTTTAATTGCTTCAAACTAAGTACTTTCTTTTACTTTCTCCTCTTTGCATTCATCATTTCCTTTCTTTTTAACTTTCCCCTTGGTTTGATCTTGACTGTTTCCTCCTCCTAGAATCGATTATCTCTCTTTATTGCTAGGATTTGGCTTCTCAGGACTAGGGCTTTTCCTTTTTTTTTCTTTTGAGCCAATTTCTTTCTTCTTTTCCCATTCATTTATATATACACATCTTGGTTTCCAAATGTTTTCATAGAAATAATTCCAAGCTGAGTTGATTGCAGTATCTATATAGATTCTAAGTTCTTTTAAACTTCCTATCATTTCGAGGATTCTTTTCGCGACCTCTTCTTTAATTAAACCTTTAAGTATGCTGGCCCTGGTTTATTCTTCTCTTCTTCTAATGAATCTCACAAAGTCTTCCTGAGCTGTGTTCTGTCAAGGCAACTGCAAGTTTCTTCAGATAGGGCTGTCCAAGCCAAGTTCGAGGCTAGTTGCTCTGTATCCTTCTATTTAATTTTGTACTTTTCACATGTCGTCAAGTGTTCCTAGTCTTCTTCTTCACCTTTTTTACATATTATACATGTAGAACTGTCATATAACTCTGGTTTTCTG